TAAACCTCTTTGCCGATAATTAGAGTTTTTTTGGGTAGATAGGCTTGGTATATGAATTGCAAAAGGGAGAGCCCCTTAAGACCAAAACAAGAAATAGATAAACGAGAAAACAATGGTACGGAATTGTTGGAGAAAAATATCCTAGAGCTTCTCATTCTTTAAAAGCATCATTTTAACTATTCGATCTAGTCATATAGAACTCCTTGGTAGATATATTAATAATATAGTCTAATAGTATGTTTACATACAAATTCAATAAGTGAAAACACGATTATTTGAGTTTATATAGGCTGAAGCACAAACTGTTGATCATTTCAAATTTGATGTCTCTTGATGTAATACTTAAAGCACCTCAAAATCATTCTCTTTTAAACTCATTACCTCCAACACTCCTCACATGCATGATTAAAAAATTATATTAGATGTTTGAGTTTCTAATTATTAAATTCAAGTCAACCTTTTGACCTAAAAACTAAATTTAGTACATGGAATAGTGATTTTATAAAATAAGAATAAAAAAAATCAAAAAGTAATTATGCATAAGTATTCAAAAGTAATTGCAAAATATATAAGGTATTATTTAAAAAATAAAAAATGTGTATGTACACGTGAATCACATCCTCTCATCTACCAAAACTTTTCAACTCAGAAGAGGGATTCTTTATTCCAATAAAAAAACTCAATGGTAACCCTCCTAAGTAACACAAACCACAAGTCAAACCAAGCATTTATTATGCACGATATATTTTTTTAGGTGAAGTATGGGCAACATCTTAACATAAATAATGGACCTCTTGATCGCCGGCATCATAATGGACCTCTTGAAGTAGAAAAGATTTTTCTAAATTAAATTTGTTTCTGAAGTAAAAAAATTAAGAGTATATTTATCTTTAGATTTTAATGAGTTAAACTTATGATGTATTTCAAATTAAATTAATAATAAATATATATTATTATATATATATATATAAGTTTATTTTAAAAGAGTCTTATTCTTATCACTTTATGAAAAAATCAATTTTTAGTCGCGCACTCATTTTCTTGTCCAATTCAGCAATAAAATTGCAATTTTCTAAATTATTTTATGTAAATTGCTGAAAAAAATTGTGCCCTGCGCCCCTGCCTGTTTAGAAAATAAAAGTATATATAAATAATAGAATGTTGATGTACGGTAAAGTTTGTATGAAAGCAAAACAAGTAAATTCACCTTCCTGATTGAACAGTTTAGTGCCTTCCCAACGACACATGGTATCCGAGGGTGGAATGTGCAAACATAATTTGCGTAACTTGAAAAAAGGGTATTAGGTTGGACACGAGGGAATGAGTAGGGATGGCAAAACATGACCGCGAATCAAATTCGTGTCATGTTTAGTTTGACTTACAGGTCAAACTGTCCAACTCAAATACAATAGATTTTTGTTTTCGAGTCAAAAATTAAAATTCGAACAAGACTTGCCACTTGTCGCAAGTGATGCGAGTTGAATTGTCAAAATTGAAAATATGATTTTTTTAATAAAAATTAAAAATAAAAGGAAAAGATCTTAATAAAATACACGAGTTGACTCGTGATCCACGATGCATGACCCATAACTGAGGTATGTTAAAATCACCAAAATTTTAACATTTTTATATTTTTTGACAAAAATATTGCGTGGTGACATGCGGGTCATGTGGGTAAACCCGTGATATGACACACACGACACGTCACTATTTCGTGTCATTTACCCAAACCCTCACATGACCCGTTTTATCCCATGAGTTGACACGACCTGTATTTTGACATGTCATGTCGCGGGTCATGATATATTGTTCCTTCCTACAAATGAGCAAGTTTGATTTGTGCATTATTCTCGCCATTAATTAATTATGATAACAATGTGATTAAGTTTAACCAACATGTGAGAGGTATACAATGTATTGCAAACGTAATTCTTGGGTAGTCCTTGTGGGAGGGGTTATACTTACCACCACAAAAGTTTATCACCCTTACAATCAACTTAATCAACGTTAGATCAAAATTAAATTTAATGGCTCACAATCAATTCTTATAATCCTAATTTTTACTCTTCGCCTTCTCTCTCACATTCTCTTTAAATCTGATAACTCTCTCTTCACCCTTTCTCTTTCGCAGTCAAAATTTATTCCAGTGGTCACTGATCAGTTTTGCTGATCTTTGCCGTCTCATCTTGTTCACAAGATTGTACGAACTGAAGCCAAAAAAAGTGAATGTTTACTACAAGTAATGATTTTTATTCTGGTTTATATGCTTCTACATCAATGAAGGGTTGTCTTATGGCATGATCACCGTGCGTTTCATCGGATTTCCCCTCGGCATTGACGGAGCCACTTGTCTGTCAGTTGGTGCCTTGGTACAAGCTAATTTTTAAAAATGGTACAAATTTTCTTCAAAAATTATGATATATTCTTAATACTGATTGATTTTTAAAAATAATACAACCTTGACACTAGTTGAATTATACTTGTTACATCTTTTAGCACTGACTGAATTTTTCTTCTGGCTTCGCCACTACCTTTTGGGTTTTTGAGGGTTTCAGATTTCCCTTCTAGTTTTTAGATATGATAGTATTTGAGAATAATAGATGATAGAAATAATTAAATATTTCAAAAAATGAAATAAAAGTGGGCCAAAATAAAAAATCATATATCTGTTGATTTGTATTCAAAGAAAATTGTAGGACACTAAATCTTGTGATGGGTAGTCCTTGACGGATGCAATGTATTGCAAACGTAATTTTCAAATACATTAGTTTAATAATGTTCGAGGGAAAAATATATTTGAAGAATATGAAACGGTGGAGATTGGCGAAACTAATCAGTGACCACTGGAATAAATTTTGACGACGGAAAAGAAAGGGTAGAAAGAGAATTGTCAGATCTTCAGCTTTGAAAAAGCTTATTTATTAAAAAGACACTTTCACGAGAATTGTCAGATCTTCAGCTTTGAAAAAGCTTATTTATTAAAAAGACACTTTCACAAGGCCTGGCCTATAAGCCTACAGACCGATCTATATTGTGCTATTTATTTTAAATAAAATAAAACAGAATAAGTATGGCTTGAAAAAAAATAAAAGATATAAATTTAATCAATTATAATTATTTATAACTTAATTATATTCGATTATATTTTAATAGAAATCTAACTTTATTTCTTATATAGGAGGAACCAATATATCAACATGTTAAATTGTGTATATGAATATATTAAAAGGTTTTTAAGAGAGATTATACTTACTACAAACATCATGATGTGTTGTTGGATTCATGTAATTATTTTAATTTACATAGTATGGATTTGTTTGTTGGATCTGATGAAATATTTGTTATTTAGTTTGAGCATTTTGCTTTTGAAAAATGACTTTAATGCAGATTGTATGAATTTTGTTGTGATTCATGATTCTGTTTGGACGTTGAAATTATGATTTTTTGTTTAGCAACAAAATTTGAGTATTTTGTAAAGTTGATTCATGGTTCTGTTTGTAAGTTAAAAATTAACAGACTAATGGGCTAAGCCAGACTATTTGTTTTTTTATAAACGGACCAAGTCAGGCTAACAGTTAGATTCGTAATAGACTTGGGCTAGGCCAAATTGAAATTTTTTGACGTAGGCTTGGGCTTTTCGGAGCAAAGCTTGGCCCAGCCCAGCCCACTTTCACCCCTAATGAAGAGTAAAAATTAGGATTATAAGAACTAATTGTGAGCCATTAGATTTAATTCTGGTCTTACGGTGATTAAGTTGGTTATAAGGGTTGTAAACTTTTATGGTGAGTACAACACCTCCCTTTCCCATATATTATTTATCTTAATTAATTATGATTACACGGTGATTAAATCAATTAGCATGTGATGAGCATTTGAATTAATTAAACGCTGGTTATTTACGGCAACAAATTTGAATTTCCAATTAGCAAAGTCTTAAAAACTATTTTCGATATTTTATTTATCTCAATGGATTATGGTAATAACATAATTAAGTTTGATTAGCATATGATGAGCATTTGAATTATCATACTTGATAGAATTTGATTAGCTTTAGTATTTAAAGAAATGATTTTATCAATTAGAATCTTGGTATTTAAAGTCATTTATGGAAAACAATAATGTATTTAAATGAGACCTTGAACTGAGAACAAGTAATTTAAAAATAAAAAAATGGGTTTACCAAAAAAAAAAAGCAAAAAACAAAAGAATGGCACATGTATGATTCCAAATCAATTTTAGGAGCATCATTCTCCCCTCAAATCGATTACCACACATTATCATAAGCCAGTTATAAGAACATTATCCTCCCTTCGGATCAACTATCATAGGTGGCAAATGAATAATTACTAATAATATTTTAGAGCAACAATTTAAATTTAAAACAATGATGTTTGGACTTTTGATAAAGAAATAAATATTTGAATTATCATGATTAATCAAATTGATTCACCTCCTTATTATAATGAACTAACATAAATAATACAAAATATTTACACAATAATATAGAAGTAAAATTCTTTCACCTTAGTTAAAGGATCAATCATCCAAAAAGTTTACCTTTTTCACCAGACAATCACTTGGGGCCACGAGAAACAACCCAAACCCAACTTTCCGTTTTCCAACAGGAATAAGAAAATAAAATTGACAACAGACAACGGAGAAGGCATATAATAGATAATAATATTTACGACTGTGTGTGGAGCATGCTTTTGGCGTTGAACTAAATAGCCAAGTGGGTCCCACCTCACATTGGGTGGCCTTTCCTCGGCAGCAACTAACCACGTGTTGTTCGAGAAACACACAATCACAAAATACTCGCCATTTCTCCATTCCATTTCCTCAATCACAGTTTTAAATTATAACCTACAAATTATATTTATTAACAGTAATTAATTAATTATAATAATAATCATTACTTAATATATTCATAAAAAAGGTACACACGAAAAGGCAAAGAAAAAGGAAATCAATTAAATAAATAAGGAAGGAAGGAAAGAAAGAAACAACGTGTTGTTACATCTGTACACAGTCCAATTTCCATTTCCATTTTCCAATTCCAATTCCAATTCCAATTCCGTGTGCCCTGCCCACTCATCACACCAGACCGACCACGCCCCAATTCCTGCCAATACTAGGGTTTTGCTCTCTATCACGCAACTCATGTTCTCCATTTCTTGATTCTCTCCCTTCGATTCGATTCCCTTTTTGTTCCTATGGAACAACAGCACCCGGAAACAACAACCACCACCGCTGCGGCGGAGCTCGTGAGCGGTGGTTTAAAGAATTTAGAGAAGTCGGAGAAGCTCGTCGGTGTCCCTGTCAAGCCCGCTCGCGATGTTGACATGGCGGAGAGAGACGATGGTTGTTGCCACGTGACCGTTTTGAAAAGGAAGCGTGGTCGTCCAGCTAAGAGCCTTACGAAAACGAAAACGAAAACGACTCCTCCGTCGAAGGACGACGAAGATGTTTGTTTTATATGCTTCGATGGCGGCAGCCTCGTTCTCTGTGATCGCCGGTGAGTCATCATTCTTCATTCCGATAATATAGGAATTTTTTTTGCTACTTTACTTTGGACTCCGTGTGTATAATTGCTCACTATTTGGCACTTTGTGTTTATAAATTCTATCTCTACTTGGCTTTTAGCTTGCAATTAAGGTCGCTCATGCGTTATTCGGTTACAATCGTTCGAGTTTTCATTTTTTTTTTCCTCTCTTCATTTCCCTATTTTTAGGGGTTGCCCTAAAGCGTATCATCCCGCGTGTATTAAGCGAGACGAGGCTTTCTTCCAATCAAAGGCCAAATGGAATTGTGGTATGTTGCTTCTTAAGCTGCGTTTGTTGTTCACCTGTCTTACTTAGCTTGCATACCTGTTCGTTACTAACATGCAAGTGGATCTCATTTGGCTAGCTTCGTATGTTCTTTGAAATGTACTTGGAATAATATAAATGTTGGTTACACTTACATTCTGTATACATTGCCATCCATACAAATTAAGGAGTTTTAATTAAAATTTAAGTTACAAAATCATATACTTATTCACCTGTATGGGGTTTAGAGATATTTGAATTAATTTAAAATTTTAATATTAAAAGTAATTAACTTACTATTGTTCAAATAAGATCTAATCATTTGTCAATGAAATCTGACGTTAAACTTTATAAAATTCAAATATATATATAAAACAATAGGGTTGATTCACTGATGACACAATTGTATCAAGGGAACATTAATTTGGAGGGGGGAAATTCATGTACAATTGACATTGGCTCCACTTGCATAGATTGTGATTTATATAAATACTAAATAGATTTCCTATTCTTTGTGTTTTTGCCACAAACATTTTCATAGATGTTTTAGATTATACCGAACCAACTCTATATTCTCCTATGCTATTCATTTATTATCTCTTTTAATGGAGTCTCGCAATTATTACATTTGCCAATTTTTGCACACTCGCTCCTTATATTTGAGAAGTCAATCTCATCTATTTGTTTTGGATTTTAATATTTTAATATGTATTAAATGGCATAGCTTTCCTTTAATAACCATTCATTTTTGTACTACTTAGGTTGGCATATATGTAGCGTATGTGGGAAGGCATCCCATTATATGTGCTATACTTGTACGTATTCTTTGTGCAAGAGATGTACAAAGGATGCTGATTTTGTCTGTGTCAGAGGAAATAAAGGTTTATGTGGAATATGCACGAGGACTATAATGCTGATTGAAAACAGTGCCCAGGGAAATAAGGCAATGGTATGTCAAACTTTCTTATATATGCGTGTACACAAGTACTATTTCCCTCTCACTTTTCCCTCTCTTTTGTGTGCTAGGGAGAGAGAAAAAGAGAGGGGGGAGCGGGTTGCTTGATGTTGAGTTAATGATATATGAAAGCATGATGGTCTAATTTTTGTATTTTTTCTTTCCTTGTGCTACTATTATAGTGTGAAGTGGATTTTGATGACAGAAGCAGCTGGGAGTATCTTTTCAAGGTGTATTGGATTTATTTGAAAGAGAAGCTATCTTTAACGTTTGATGAGCTCCTTCGTGCTAAAAGCCCATGGAAAGGTGCTACTCCTATGAGTTGTATGGTTGAAACTCCTCAAGAATTTTTTCTTCTTAAAAATGACAAAGTTTCTGGTTATGAGAACTCCAGTATAGACACAGAATCAAATAATTCGAAAAACAAGAAGTCTAAGAGAGGAGATAAACATAGACATATTTGTGATGGTGTCTTGAATGATATTGGATGCAGTACACAAGACTTAACCCATATCCGTGAGCCAACTGGGAGTATATCTATAATAAAGAACCAAATTAACCCTAATGTATCAGCAATTGAAAATAGCACTAATGCAGGAGATGTGAGATTAGAAGCGTCTGGTGTTGCAGCGGGCATTTCATTAGTACTTCTCTCTACAGGGATGGAGCAGCCAATTAGTGATTTTGTGGATGATAAATCATGGCATTATCAGGATCCAACTGGGAAGGTTCAGGGACCTTTTTCTATGTTGCAGCTGTCTAAGTGGAATGCAAGTGGACATTTCCCTCCTGATCTCCGAATATGGAAGGTAGATGAGGAACAAGATAACTCTATATTGTTAGCTGATGCACTAAGTGGGAAGTTTTCTAAAAATGTGTCATTGCCATACAACAGCATACAGCTATCTTTGGAGGCCAGTGTTACATTGGATAATAAAGAGAATAGTCAGGATGGTGGGAGCATTGTCACAAGGAACGGAAATCATGCAAACAGCCAAATTGTCGAAGACAGCAGGGAGCAAAGGGTGGAAGATACTTGTACCCAATCTAATGGCAAAGATGAATCTGTTAGGAGCAATGGATGGCACTTTCAGTCTCCTTGTTGGACTGTACAAGCAGATGGGAATAACAATGAGGAACAAAGTGGAATTCTTGAAAGGAAGGAGGAGTCGTCAAAGGGTGAAATTTCTTGTCATGACCGTCCCCATGTATACCCTTCCCTACCTTCAACTACCTTTTCTGAGAAATTGAATGAGAATCCTTCTGATAAATTAAGGGAAGATCATAGGACTGAGGGAAACTCTGAAGATAATGGAAATTGTGGCTCAAACAGGATTTCTGAGGGTCAGAGTAATAGTGTGCAAAGTTGTCAGAAACAATTTGATGGTGAAGAGAATTCTGGGCAATCTTCTGGTCAGAACTGGAGATGCCCTGATGTAGTTCATCCAGCATGTAATACATCTACATGGCAGGCAATATTTGGTGATCCCTTTGATTTTGAAGAATCCGTTTCAGATCTGTTGGCAGAAGTGGAGGCAATGGAGTCACTTGAAGGCATGGAATCTCCCACTTCAATCATGAAATGTGGTGAGGAGTTGACTGACGGTTGCATAACTGATTGTCTCAGTTTTGCACTTGGGCTTAGCCCAATGCATGATGCTGGTAAAGGTGATGCAGTAAGTTCCACAGGCGATTTACACTTACCTTCTCAATCCACAACAGCAGAGGAACCATTTCGGCAAGCAGATGTACACCATCATGCCTCAAGAAGTTCTGAAGTTGAGGTGGGTACAAAGAACATTAGAATTTCATGTAATTACTGGCAATCAGGGTCAGAAAACTCTCTTATTATAGTCTCAAGTAATATGTATTTTGAAAATTTACTTTAAAAGGATTACTTTTAGTCGACAGGAACTCATCTATTAATTTTGTGCAGTCTACTTTCTCAAAGATTAGCTGGAATCCAACCAATCGATATTCCTGGGATCCAAATTGTAAGTTGTTTCTCCACTTCCTTTGCTACGCATAACTATTTTTGCAAGTTCCTATCATATCTTGAATAATTAGAGCTAGCGTTCGTAATTCTTTGAATTTGGATGTTTTGCTTAAATGGTTCTTTGGATTTGCAGATTGACGGACAGATTATGTTTACGACCATTTTTCTTATCTTTTGGCTGCACAAATCTTAGACCCACATGAATCGGAGATCCTGTTTATAACTACATTCTTTGCAAGCAATAACCTCTTGCCTTTCCTTCGTTGTTTGTTTGTTGATGAAGAAAAGCATTAGTGTTGAGTTTCTTGGTAGTCTATACTGCTTGGTAATTTCTTTGAATTTTAAATGTGAAGAAGTTATTAGATTTTGGGAATAGATCCTCCGATATGATGTCATGAAATAGAATTTCAACTATTTAAACATAAATCAATGGAGATAGGAGAAAATATTAAATAAAGAGTAAGAAAAGAATAACCGTTGATTTATATTAAATAGTTGAGAGCTTCTCATATAATCTCACGTCACATGAGATGATTACTTCCCCTGCATTTCCTTGTTAAACAGATCGGGGTTCCTTTTCTGTTCATCAAAATCATGGGATTGAATCGTACAAAAGTAAACAAATTCTTGGATTGAATTAACCCATTATATAATGGATATTATCCAACATGAACAACTTCTGTTATTTATCCAACATGAACAACTTCTGTTATTTATCCTAGGTTCTGCATTTTGATCTACAAACATTTGCACTTGCACGACAGCACGAGTAGGGACAAGAAGCTTGGAATCTGGGTTGGAGCTTGGATTTTGATCCCATGGTGGTCTCGCTCTTAATTGAAAAATGAAAAGTAAAATCATAGAAACCAACTTCTCAACACTTGAAAAAAAATAACAATAAAGTGCAGAATTTTCTTTATAGTGCAGAAATAGTTAGCGCGTTGCAAACAAGGGTTAGACATTCTTGGTCAAATCTTTTGCCTGTACTAGTGGCTTGGTTTTGATTATGAGATTTTCTTATTTGGAAGGTGATATATAAAGTTTTGTAAACTTTATATGAGATTGGTGGTTGTTTTTTCCTAATTAAACTTTCTTTACCAAAAATAATAGTTATTAAATATTTTTAGTTATATAAATAATAAAGTAATCATATTTTTTCTATTAAAGTTATCCATAAATTAAATTCTCTGTTTCTCATTTTGAACCTTTGACATTTAAAAAAAAAGAAAGAATTATGAAGATGCATGTTGAAGTTTGCTGTCACGAGATGAAGATTAGGATGGATTTTGTGCATATACTAGGCTATGAGGTAGCCCTTGATATCTTTTAGATATCTAAGATCAATATTTAATAAGGGGAATATGTTGATGATCATATAAATCATAAAACCATAGTTGGTTGGATCAAATAACCAAATGCATAAGGGTTTTTATGTGATCGCAAAATTTTTATGATGTCCAAAGAAAAATTCCATAGAATAAAAAAAAATGGTTTAATGATAACGGAGCTGAATGTTGGCTAATACATAGTTAAATTGAACATAAAATAGGAGTAATAAAAATGGAAATGTTAAGGTAAATGTGCTGAAGATATTCAATAAAAGGTAAGAGTAGTATTGGTTGCTAAAAAAGTGAGAGAATATAGATTAAGATGTTTTGGATATATTATTTGAAAGCCACTATATACTCTAGTCAAAACCTATGATGCACGGACACCGACACGGGATACGGGACACGACACGACACTCCGACACGTTAATTCTAAAAAATGCTAAATTTCGACACGTTGGGACACGTTTTGATATTAAATAATATTTATAATATATATAATATAGTTTACATTTAATACATATACCAACTCATAATAAGTCATATAAATTATTTATTTTGCATAAAAGAATACAGAATTTTATGGAAATTCTTTTTCTTCATCTAAGAATGAAGAAGGGAGGTGGAATACAGCTGGACAATCTTCATTTACTTTTATTTTATATAATTCCATTCTGGTTCTCTTGTCTTTTTCGGCATTTTGGCTCTACTTTGGAATTTTGGCTCTACTTTCGGACTTTCAGCATTTGTCCGAGTCGGTCGAACCATTCCCGTAGCACTGCTCTGTTCTCCATTTCTCCACTCTTGCTGCTTGCTAGTTGCTACCTTGATCAAAACAAAACAAAACAAATTAAAATGAAAAGAGTTTTCACAGCTCACAACGGCGTCAACACAAAAGAGCAACAGTTGAAATCAAGATCCAAAAAAACTTACCGGGTTTCTAATTCGGACTGAAGAGTAGACGACGAGCATAGGAAGAAGAGCCGAAGGCCAACGAAGAAGAAGAGGAGTAGCTCCAGCTTGAAGAGAGCAGAACTTAACGGGTTCTCCATTTCTAGACTTTTCAATTTTTATTTTTTTAAATTGTAATTTTATTTTATTTTTACAAAAAAATGTCAAAACGTGTCCGAAAACGTGTCCAAATACGTTGACTGCGTGTCGGATTCGGTCAAAATCGCGTGTCCCTCTAGTCAACGTGTCCCAAAAAGTTGACCACGTGTCGGACGCGTGTCCAAACGTGTCGGACACGCAATTTTCTCCAACAAACCCGTGTCCATGCTTCAGAGGTCAAAACCAAAGTTTGCTACAAAGAGTATGACACAAAAATAGCAAGACTTCAGTTGAAACTTACTTGAGGAAAAGTAGTAAAATAAGGTGTAATGAAGTAGAAATAAATTTACAGATTATGTGTCTTAAGACAGTGGAGAAAATTACCAATGTAAAGAGATAGACCAATTTTTTGTGATGTTCCAAATGGTCATTTTCGTATGCTATGATTCCATGCATATACTAGGATAATAGGTATCCAAAAAAGATTTTAGATATATGGAATCAATGTTTCACAAGGAGGGAGAGGTTGATGAGGTTGTAAACCATGGAATTAGAGTAGGTTGAATAAAATAGAACAGTGCATCAAGATATTTATGTGATTGCAAAATCCCTCCAAGGCTAAAAAAAAATTATATAGAATAATTGTAAATGTTGTCTTCTTATATTGAGTGGGATGTTGGTCAACATATAGACAAAATGAACATAAAATGAAAATAGTGGAAATGAGAATATTAAGGTGGATGTGATGAAGATATTCATTAAAAGATGTGAATAATATCAATTGCTCAAAGGATGAGAGAACTGTTAGGTGATGTTCGTCGATTAATGTTGGCACGTACTCTCATTTAACGAGGTGCATGACTCAAGGGCACAACCACCTCATCCACCTAATGATTAAAGAAGATTCTCGAAGAATGTGGAGAGTTTCCCTCTCCCTTATATAAACCCCATCAAATCATTTGTATTTTGGTTAGATTGTGGAAAAGTTCTTTGAATACCTATAAAGAGAAGCTTGAGTATTAGACCTCTTTAGGAAAGTTTAAGCGTACCACTATTTTTGGTGAAGTTTGATTATTTGTATCTCATTATTTACATAGTGAAAATTTGATTCTGCACTAGTGTCACATGTATTTTTACTTCTTCACATTTGACTGTGTTCTTCTCTCTCTCCTCTGTGTTCTTCTTATTAAACTTTCTTTACCGACATTCAATTAACATTAAATATTTTTAGTTATATAAATAATAAAGTAATAATATTTTTCTATTAAAGTTATCTATGAATTAAATCCTTTGTTTCTCATTTAGAACCTTTGACATTTAAAAAAAATAAATCGAATTATGTTGAAATTTGCTATCACGAGATGAAGATTAGAATTTTGTGCATGTACTAGGCTTTGAGGTAGCCCATAATATGCTTTTAGATATCTAAGATCAATATTTAATAAGGGAAAGATGTTGATGACGATATAAACTATAATGACCGCAACTGATAAATCTTAGTTAGAGATCTAATTTATGGATTTAAATATCATAATTAGATTCAGAACGTGATTTCGAGTGTTTTGACTATAATCATGATTACGTCATGAACAATGATTTTTGCCGGGTATTCTGCACTGCTGTGTAGCAACCGGTAGAGCTCGAAAATGAGCAGAATGGTGTTAGAGAACTAATTTGGCAATTGTGATGCCAAACATGAGTTCAAAACGAAAAATTGTGTAGTCTGACATTTTTTGCAAAAATCTCGTAAAACATGTTTCTACCGGGTATTTGTACCGCCATTTAGGTAATCGGTAGAGTCCAGCAATAAATAAATGACATAAGAAATATATGAAAGTCCAATATATGTCAAATAACTCATGTTTAGACCAAAAATGATAAGTTTAGTAGTATAAATTAGAGGTAAAAGCAACACTTTAAAAGAAAAAAATCACTTAAGTGACAAGTAAGAGAGAGAAAGAGACATAAAAACACCATGTTCTTTCCTTGCTTCTACTCTAAACCATGGACAGCACCCATGGAGAGGACTTAGGGTCATTTTCTTTCTTCTTCCATTTTCATCATCATCCACTCATCGAATCCAAAAAGTTTCAACACAAGAATTGTTTTTTTATCATCTTAGGAGTAAAACCCATCCATTCTTTCTTCTTGGGAAGCATTTTTGAGAGAGACACCTCCCCTTTACAGCCACAAATGACTGTTCATTGGAGGGAGAAAATCTAATTATTTTTGTTGATTCAATGCATGGAACTTAAAGCTTTGGTTGTCTAGGAGCTATTCAAGGTGAGAAATCCTGTTTTCCTTGGTTGATTCATGGAGTTTCATTTTAGGGTTCTTTAAATATTTTTTTTTGAAAATGATGAAGTCACCAGAGCATGAATTAGTTGTTTGTGGTTAAGGGATTAATTACATTAAAGTATGATTGTAGTATGTATAAAAGCATGTGAGGTTGTTGAAATTGTGAAAAATCATCACGGTCCCACCTATGTACAAATCTGCCCACATGATGAAATTGATGCAAATTACGTGTTTGATGAAATGTCAATGTGAAAATAAGGTTTTGTATGTGTTTATTGATGAGTGATATGAATTATGACTTGTAAAATGTATGTTTGTATAAATGAAAAATTAGTTGCCAAAATTTTGAATATTATGGATATGTACCTCTGATTTTGGAGTATGATATCTCCCTCATCTCTTGGTAAAATGAGGCTCATGATACCTTATTTTAAAGCTTGAGATGTCATCTATATTGACCTAGAATTTGAGATGATTATGTGCTGTGGTTTGTCCCTAAAGTCAAATTGAGTACAAACTGCCCAAAATCGTGAAGTTCAGGGGCGATTCCAGTAGTCCGACTTCAAAAATTCATATCTTCCTCATTACTTACCCAAATTAAGCTTATGATACCTAGAATTAAAGCACTAGGTGTCTACTACAACATATTAAAATTTGAGAGATATCAGACTTGTGGAACTTCCACAATGGCGAAAACCGTGAGGGAGTTTGGGATACCCTGCACTGTCTGAAAACAGAGATTAGGTTGAATGAAATAGCATAGTGCATCAAGATATTTATGTGATTGCAAAACTCCTCTAAGGCTAACAGGAAAATTATATAGAATAATTGTAAATGTTGTAATCTTATATGGGTTCATTTTTCTGTAGTTAATGCAAATAAGTTATCTGCATTGATCTCAAAATGACGTCGTTTTGGGACAGAAATCAAGGTATTTGGTAATTTTAATTTATTTCAGGGTTATAATAGTCTTTATAATTATAATTTTTTAATATTTTAACACCAAAACGACGTCCTTTTGGGAGTAAATGCAGATAACTTATCTGCAGTAACTGCAGAAATATTTTTCTGATCTTATATGGAGTTGAATGTTGGTCAATATATAGAAAAAATGAAAATAGCGAAAATGAGAATATTAAGGTGGATGTGATGAAAATATTCAATAAAAGGTATGAATAATATCAATTGCTCAAAGGGTGAGAGAACATATATTGAGATATTTTGAACATATTATTTGAAGATCAGTAGATACTATTGTGAGAATATAAATTTACTACTTATTTAGAGAAAAATAGTTAAACAATAATTAATTGACCAAGAAAAAGATTGACACATTATGTTATTTAGAATGGATTGAAAAAAAATTATTAGCAATGTGGAGAAGTAGACATATTTTTTCCTATGTGGTCATTTTCCCTATATTAATTTTTCTCTTTAATCTATTTTTTCTTTCTTATTTATTTTTTCTCTCTTAGATATATATATATTTTTTTGGTAAACTATTTTTTTTTATTTGTTATTATTATATGTTTTTTTTTAATTTTATTTTATTTTTTCTCTCTTAGATATATATATATATTTTTGGTAAACTATTTTTTTTTATTTGTTATTATTATATGTTTTTTTTTTAATTTTATTACTTTTTATTTGAATTCATGCCTATCCATCAAACTAATTTAAGATAAAGATATAATTAATGTTAATATTGATTTTTGGAATTTTAATTCCTAAGAATGTATTTAGCAAATTTCTTATATATAAAAACATATTCTATCATTAAAAAAAAAAAAACATATTCCATCATGCAATCTCTTATATTATCCTGGTAAGCTACCAATGTGAAACTTCAACAGTACAGTGACATTAAATTCGGGAAGCCACCACCACGTCAGAAAACAAACAGAAAGAGAAAACCGTTTATCTTCCCGCAACGGTCAACGGAGAAAAGAGAGTTGGGGGATCATAACCAGAATTCCGATCATCGAAACGACGATCGCTCTGCATATTTTGGGTTTAGAATGATGGCGGCGACGTCGTATCTGACGCCGACGCAGAGGTACGCAGCCGGAGCCGTGTTTAGCCTGGCTCTGCATCAAGCCCAGCTTCACCAGACCCACCCGCTAGGCCTAACAATCAATGACTTCCCTTCTGACAATAACTCCCCCACTGTTGCAGTTTCCGAAGATCCCGACCTTTGGATCCACCACAACTCCGGTTTGCTCCGCCCTGTTTTCATGTATGTCTTGTGTTTTCTCATCCTTTACCCTAAATTTGAAATAAAGTTATCATGTTCTGAAATTAACTGCAAACTGGAAAATCCAATTACTGTGCTATGTTGGGTTTCTGTTTCAGTGTTATTCTGTGTCTCTGAACAGGTTTCTAGATATTAATACCGCAGCTTGGTCTGGACTCGAGGAAACTGCAGGGTCTTCTTCAGCTTCACGTCACGTGGGACCAGTACGTCATGCTACTTCCTCTTTACTCCTCCTTAGCGTGGTGTTATATACAGTAGTAAAATGTATTCACGGTTATGCCTTCTTATGTTTCGTTGCTTTAAGTATGTTCCTATATTCCAAACGTGGATTACCATGTTCAATTTTGGATTCTCCTTTACTTCCCTACATTATTTATTTATCTGGTGACAGGTTTATAACTTCATACCCCTTTGTTTCCTTTACTCTCATCTTTGTTGATATATATGTGTACTTGATGTGCCTCTAACTAGGGTGTAAATGGGTTAGGTCGGCCTAGCCTATATCAAGCCAGATTTGGCTGATTACATATAGTTAAATAGAGTAGGCAAATGCTTTTAAAAAAATCTATATAAAAAATAGGCCACAGGCTTTTTTTTACATGTCAGACCTATATGTTTACAGCTCGACCTATACCATCTTATTTATTTTAAATAAAACAAATAAAATTATTATTTTAATTATTGAATGTTTAATAGGCTTAAACAGGCTAAAAGGTTTAGGCCAAGACTTTTGTTTTTAAAATATAGGTCAGATCAGACTTATAATTTAGTCTTACACAAAGCTAATAGGTCAGGTTAGACCTAAAGTATTTTACACAGGTCTAGGCTATTTAAGCCAAAAGCTTAGCCTATTTATACCCCTACCTCTAAGGATATCATGCATGACTTGGCTTGTGTCTTTAAACACTGTTATCAAATAAAGAATTGTTAAAAAATCCTAAAAAGTTTAGTTTTCATTTCTTTCTTTCTTTTTGTGGGGGAGGAGCTAAACAGCATAAAACATTTGACAAAAAAAATCACCAACCTTTGTGTGGCATGACATGGATTGTTGTTTAAGGTACTGATCCACTGTTCTTGTTTTCTTCCCTCTTCTCTACTAACTGCCCGTGTCACATTGAATTCAGTGCCTTCTTGTCTACAATTTATTCCTGTGGGCATAACTCTTTTGATGTTTACTTGTTATGTTCGTATACATTCTTTGTTTTTTTATTTAATGATTTGCTTTTATGCAAATACATCACTTATGGATAATCTATGTGAATGTCACAGTTCTTGAGACTATTATCAGAAGAATTTGGTGATGATTGTTCTCAAAGGTCGGATCAAGAACTTGCTTTGTCAGAAGCTGTTGATGCCATGGTCCTTAGCCTGGAAAAAAATTCAGAGTCTTCCAAATCTAAAAGAGAGAGGTTTCATGAATACGAGCATCAATGTCGTGAAAAGTTTTCCACTGCTGATGTTCAACCAAATTCTGAGAAGGTAGATGTGGATTTGGAAACTCAGGAGGAGACAAAAACTCCTTTCTTTGACTGTGATGATGCAGATCAGGGATCTATTGATAGTAAAATTGATGAGAGTCAAATTGAAGAGGTAATGATGCTCAGCTATCAGAGGAAAGTGACAGTTCTCTATGAACTTCTCTCTGCTTGTCTGTCAGATTTAGCTGAAAAAAACAAGAAATATACTCGGAGAAGAAAGGGTTATGATGCTCGGCATCGTGTGGCTCTACGGTTGCTGGCAACTTGGCTAGATATCAAGTGGACAAAAATGGTTTGTAAAATGAATCTTTTAATTGGTAATTTTTATGTAATTGGGAACAACTTTTTATAAGTTGAGGTGATCATGAGATATAAGTGTGAGGATTTTTGACTGTTTATATTGTACTAAAAAGACATGTCAAGAATTAGTCTTCACTTTGGTGAACATCGACTATACATTCACCTTGATTTCTATGTTACATGTTTAGCCTAATTCTACATGGGAATAAGTCATAAGCTTTGCTTTGAATCGTCCTTTATTAAAAATCTCAAATTTATTGGTTAAATATCTTCAAGTGATGAAGATGAATCTTCACTTTGCAGGAGGCCATTGAGATGATAGTTGCTAGTTCTGCAATGGCTTTCATTAAAGAACAAGAATCAAATAAAGAAGAAACTGAATCAAAAGAAAGCAAGTGGTCTAAATGGAAGCGGGGTGGTATTATTGGTGCTGCTGCATTAACTGGGGGAACCTTGATGGCTATTACTGGGGGTATGAATACCTTAACATCTTTTCTGTTTGTGGGAATATATAATTTCAGATTGAATTAATTTTCTTGTGGATTTGACTGTTCTTATTTTTAAGCATTAAACAGGATTAGCTGCCCCAGCAATTGCTGCAGGACTTGGTGCTTTGGCTCCAACTTTGGGTACTCTGATCCCTGTAATTGGAGCAAGTGGATTTGCCGCAGCTGCTAGTGCTGCAGGAACTGTTGCTGGTTCGATTGCAGTTGCTGCATCATTTGGAGGTATATATATTTGCTTACGTGTGATTGAATTTACTGGAATCTTCTCATGCTATGCTATTATATCTTCGCTTTGTATGGAAATTAAGTAGCCCTTTGTGAGTTTCCAGTGTTGCTTAAGGATACTACCAGGACCACCAAGTCATTATTCATATGCTTATGTGTCTTAGAGGAGTGTTGTGTTCTGTTGAGATATATAAAACCATTAATGTAGCCTCACCCAATAGCTTAAGCTTTTGGGGTGAATTGGTTCTTTACATGGTATCAGAGCCTCGGTGTACCGGGTTCGATCCTCACCGCCCCCCACTTTCTTTCTTGTGGAATTTCTTTCTTCACACAGGTAGGTGGGCCTGTGCATTGTCCACCTTTCAAGTCCAGTGGGCTCTCGTGTGAGGGGGCGTGTTGAGATATATAAAACCATTAATGTAGCCTTACCCAATAGCTTAAGCTTTTGGGTTTAGTTGGTTCTTTACATGTTCTATTTGGGGTTTTGGATTGGTCCTCAATATGGTGGTTTTTGTGCTACATTACTGGTCAAATTATACATTTTTATTGCTGTAATTTATTTATTAGCATGCTTACAGTAATTGCTTGAATGAGATAAGTTAGACAACTGCCAGTCAAGCTGCAAATGGAACTCTTTAAATTGCCTTTTTAGACGAGGAGTTATAAAGGTTATATGGGAATTTTTCTAAAGTTTTAGAACAGTCTGGAGGAGTGGTGCATGGCACATTTATACCTCCTATATCCTATTATCTAATGGGCCTAAAAGTAGTGAGTAGGTTAGTTAGTTTGTTAGGGAAATTTTATTCTTAGAGGAGGGAATGTGTGGAAGAGGTAGGCATGAATTGAGGGGATATTGGGGATCTCTTAAAGCCTAGGTTTGTTGGCTTTGAGGGTGATTGGGGTCTTTTGGGTGTATTTTTCTGCATTTAGTCTTTGTAAGGAGCTTGTCTCCATTTGTTTTCATCAATTTCAGATTAATAAAATTAGGTTCCATCATTATCCTAAGACAGTACCTTCAATGTTCAATTTACAAAATTTCTTTACAGTACATGCTAGTTTTATCTGTTATTGGGACTCATGTATGATCTGTAGGACAATAAACTCTCTTTCTCACAGTTGTTTCTACTTTTCTGTGTTACCATTAACGAAGTTCCATTTTTAGATGATGAAAATATTTTTTGTATCACTTTGTTCTACCAGCTGCTGGAGCTGGACTTACTGGAAGCAAAATGGCTAGGAGAGTTGGGAGTGTTGACGAGTTTGAATTCAAAGCTATAGGAGAAAACCATAACCAAGGCGTAAGTTTTTATTGATTTTATTCCTATTTTCTCGTTACACTTCTTACTTGATTGAGTTATGATCCGCGTGAGCATGTGCATGTGTGAACTTTGTCTAATCTTTTTGTATTATATAGACCTACTTTTGTGCTTAGTTTATTGTTTCAAATTAGATTCTTATCGGACTTATGCTTGCAGAGGCTTGGGGTTGAGATCTTGGTCTCTGGATTTGTCTTTGAGGAGGATGATTTTATAAGGCCTTGGGAAGGACAGAATGACAACTTGGAGAGGTACACATCTTTGCCAATTTCCATATCCTAAAATGGTTGTGTTTCCTTAATCGTTATTTGGGAAAAATCAGTTGATGCAATTATGAATACTATTGTTGAATACAATTTTCATTTAGCCAAGGACAACATGTTGATGGAAAATCATCTTATTATATTGTGATTGCATATTTTCCTGCAGTTTTTCTTCATTTTAAAAATTACAATGTTAAACGATTTATGATCCCATCAAAACATTTGACATTTCATATGGCCCTTGCCAAAAGTTAGGTATGCGCTGCAGTGGGAGTCCAAGAATCTAATTGCTGTGAGCACTGCAATTCAGGATTGGCTTACTTCAAGTAATTGGTTTGGGTTTCAGGCTGCTAGTTTTTCTGAGTAGTATATTTAAGTAGAGTTGTGTATGACGTCAATATTGCTGTGATTTGCATTAGGATTTGCGATGGAGCTGATGAAGCAAGGGGCAATGATGACTGTATTGAGTGCACTTTTAACTGCATTGGCTTGGCCAGCTGCATTACTTGCAGCAACTGATTTCATAGACAGCACGTGGACAATTGCTATCGACAGGTTTACATTTAACTCTTGATTATAAGCGGAATATAACTTTTGCACAGTAAAGGAAATGCATCTACTTGCTTTTTGTTACTTATAGTACATAGGCAATTCAAGGGTTTCAATTGTTTTTGCTGGACAATATGCAGTGATGTAATTGATTGTTAGTGGATTATGATAGCATTTCACAAACTTGAAAACTGTCATGAAAGTTGACAACTGCATGAGACTAATTTGAATTAATTTCATTTTGGGGGGAACTTTCTTACGATGTATCATTTGTGCTATTCCTAGCAGATAGGTTTTCTAAGGCTTCATCATCTCCCACCTTGTCAACATGAAATCCGGCATTTGCCTATATCCTGTTTGTTAAATACCATATTTTTTTAGCCTAAACCATGTAGTGGATAAACTGTGGGATGTTTAGGTGCTTTGGTATTTCAAGGATGTATCTGTTTATGTTTTTCTCTTTTTTTTATAAAAGGCATGGTAAGGAGCGATGTTTTCACCATCTCAATGAAAAAATTGTTCAATAAAGTACCTTTTAGGTCCTCAACAAATATCACGGGGCTCAATTTAATTCCTTAGAAAAAAAAAGTCGACTCGTGATCCATCTGAAATTCAAAATAGAGCCATGTTAGTCCTTTTGAGGAACTAACGTGGGTCTTTGAATTTCAGAGGGATCACAATTTTGACTAACTAGATCTATTTTGAATTTCAGAAGGACCACAAGTCAATTTTTTTTTTTTCTAAGGGGTTAAAATGGGCCCCTTGGTTTTTGTAAAGGATCCAAAAGGTACTTTACTCAAAATTGTTATACTGAAATCTGCTTATCTAAGTTAATTTTACTTTTCAGATCAGACAAGGCAGGGAAGTTGCTTGCTGAAGTATTATTAGGAGGATTGCAGGGAAATAGGTAGTTGGCTTATTTTAAAGTTCCTTTTAAAAATTCAGCTCTTGAAATGTGTAATATCTTTAATCTATGAGTTTCAGGCCTGTGACACTTGTAGGTTACTCACTTGGGGCAAGAGTTATTTTCAAATGTCTAGAGTGTTTGGCTGAAACAGAACAAAATGGTAGGTATTTCCACTCTTTCCTTTTATGGTCCTTGATATGATAGATTATTTTCCTTTATTTCCCTGGGGATCTTTTGATCTTATTGACAACCTATCAAAGGCTAAGTTTGGTTTCCCCTTAAACTTCTCAACTCTAGTGATGGGCACATATGATTTCATGTCTGCGGGGACTCTTGTTTGTTTATCCGTTAAATAAGATGTTACTTTTCTTATTGATTTTAAGGTGATTCTTCTCTTTATTGGCAGCTGAATTGGTAGAAAGAGTTGTTATTCTTGGAGCCCCCATTGCAATCAAGGATGAGAACTGGGAAGCTGCTAGAAAGGTGGATGGGGATTTAGTTTTTATCTTAATAATACCTTTTAAATCTCACCTATATGATGGAAATATAGTTTTCATTAGTTTTTATGAGATCCTGGTATTCTGTAGATGGTAGCAGGAAGATTTGTAAATGCTTATTCAAGGAATGACTGGATGCTTGGTGTTGCTTTCCGTGCCAGGTACGTGAAAATGTAGTTGTAGAATTTCTGGTAGCGCTGTGGATTCTTCCAGTTGATCCACAGTACATAACCTATGGACCAATTAATTCTTGCAAGCGTTCACTTCAAAATCAAAATTGAAAAATGAACGAATGGCATGAAGTTGTATTCGTGGTTCTCATTACATTATCTATGGACCAGATATTTTTTATGCAGTTTTATCCATGAAAGTTGTAAGTTATGCGGCATTCTGACCCTGCAACAGCAGATAACATCATTTCATATTTTTATTGACTCCATTTCATCATTGATTTGAACCCATAACGGTCTCATAATTGTGGCCAATTTTCGCATTATACCCATTTTATGTGTGAGCACTGTCTCATCTAATCCATACACACAGAAATAAAGGGTAGGTTACAGGCATATAACACAGTTGTTTTAAATTTTATGCAGTCTACTTTCTCAAGGACTAGCTGGAATCCAACCAATCGATATTCCTGGAATCCAAAATGTAAGTTTTTTTTTTTTTTTTTTTTCATCCTCTTCGCTACGCATACTATTTTGCAAGTTGCTATTTTTTTATTTCGTTTATTTTGTGGTACAATTGCAAGTTGCTATTTTTTTATTTTTATTTTTGGGTAAAAAAAAGTTTAAGTGGAGTTAGACACCAGTATCCCACTAGGGTCAGGGAAGATCTCCAAACCTCTTTGAAGATTTCTTGGAGGGATTACATATCACCCACCAACAAAGTCCTCACATCGATCAGCGAGATTTGAACCCACGCCCGGATATGGACCAAACCCTTAGTCAACTGTGCCCCTTTGCTCCAAGTTGCTATTTTAACTAGTATAATTAGTGCTGGCATTCACAATTCATTGAATTTGGATCTTTTACTAAAGGGAAATATAAGAATCATGTTGCAGAAATGATACTATTCATTTCTACAATAAAGATCCGGCAACGTATCTTGAGAATACGGCGCCGTATCCTGATTTTGGTTTGATTTTTTTTTTAACTGTGGACTCCACACTTGATTTGTGTGTGTAGAAAAATAATCCTGTCATGTGACATGACAAAAAGCGAACCTTTTATTAAAATGGTTCTTTTGATTTGCAGGTTGACGTGACGGATCACATTGAAGGCCATTCATCTTATTTGTGGGCCACACAAAAGGTCTTAGACGAACTTGAATTGGATACGTATTATCCCGTTTATAATACCATTCTTTGCAAACAGTAACCCTTCCCAATTCTTCCTTGCTTGAATATATAGAACTTTATAGTATCGCTGTTTTTAGTGGAATGAAATTGCCTTAAATTTCCAAAGAAAGAAATTTACTGTGTAAATATTTTTTCACCAAAATCCTTGGGTTGAATTAACGCCTTATATATATGCATGCTATCCAGCGGTCAGTCACATGAGCAAGTTCTATTTTTAAAACCAAAATTCTCCATCGAGCTTGGTTTTATATAAGGTTTGATTAAATCAATTCAATTACAGATTTGTTAGAGAAATATAAAAATCATTAATTTAGTCTCATTCAATAGCTTAAATTTTTGGATTGAAATAGTTCTTTATACGATATCAGAGCTTCTTTGATCAGATAGTCCTGAGTTCGATCCTTACTGCTTTCATTTAATTAATAAATAATTAATTATTGTGAAATTTATTAGCATAGTCTTGTGCATTATCCACTTTTCAAGTTCATCAAGTTATCGTGTGAGGGGACGTGTTAGAGAAATATAAAAATTATTAATGTAATTTTATCTAATAGTTTAAACTTTTGGGTTGAAATAGTTTAGTTCAAAAATATTTTTGTTGTCAATTTATAAAGTTTCATCGAAATTATCTTTCTTTGGTCTGATTTAAGTAAAAATGAGTGCAGTAGAATTATAATTTATAAACTAATTCAATAACATTTTTATATTATATGATTGATAGATTAAATTGAATAGATTTTTTTATTATTAAAAGACTAAATTGATAGCAGTTTTTTTATAAGACTAAAATCATGACACTTTACATTGTTAAATAGCCAAATCAATAATAAAAATATTTCAAGACTAAAGAGTATCATGCTTGTATTTTTTTATAACGAAAATAAGAGTTGAGTATAACTGAATCAAGCTTTTCTTTTTACACGGTTAATTTAAGGGAAATATTACTCTCCTTTTATGAGGTAACTTATCTCATTTTCTCTCACTTCGATTTTCGCACCCCACTTTTATCTTTTTTCTTTTAATGGTGGAACCCACCTATTTTCTCTCTATGTGGAAGGAGATTAATAAAACTCTTAATTTAAACAAGGGTAATTGTATTATCATGGGACAGCAAAATTTTTTTTGTCTCCTGCACACTTAAGCTGAAGTGGGACCCATTAGGAAAGAGAAGAAAAAAAACAAAAAAAAACGACACAGGTATTGATGTATGGAAAGGAGATAAGAAAAATTTGACAAACAAAATATCATAAATAATAATACCAATATATATATATATATATAGGGTTTTATAAGAGTTATCTTGTAGGAAAGATGATTGTGTTATATTATAGAGATTCGTTTTGCGTGCCATAGTTTTTTTTTTTTCAAAACATGCGGGTCCCACAAAATATTGTGTATGTAAAAATATTTTGTTGTCACGTTAAATGATAGATATAAACCCCATATATATATATATGGGAAAAATATTTCTCCGGCAACTTGAGATAAGTTTATTTTCTGCCACCCAAAATTACGTCATTTTGTTTATTTATTTCCTTATATTAATTGATTCACCTTTGAATAGTTATGATTCATTTTTTCTCTCTTTCTTTATCATCATTGATTTAGTAGCCAGAGATAAAATTATCTCAAACAGCTTGAGAAATGATAAGTCCTATATATATATGGCTTTTTGACCCTTATAACCCTTTACAAATAATTAATTACCTAATTGACCTTCATTATAAACTATTTCAAATATTTAACCCCCTCAAAAAACATAACACCAATCTGCCCCTGTTTGACCGTTGACCAGCAAGCCTACCCGGGTACACCCCTCCCTACCCGGGTATTTTTTGAAATTTTTTGCCTACCCGGATAAAGAGGGGTGTACCCGAGTATTGTTCTTGACACCTAAAAAATTGTTTGAATTATTTACTCGAGTAGGTAAGGATGTACCCGGGTAAATCTCCAATCTCCAAATTGACCTTCATTTTTGAAATAGTTTATAATGAAGGTCAATTTGATAATTAATTATTAATAAAAGATTATAAGGGTCAAAAGATCATATATATATATATATATATATATATGTATATATATATATGTATATATATATATATATATCTCGTAAATAAACATCATAAACATTAATTAGAAATCTAATAATTATTGACAAAATAATTATAATTTCTAAAGTCCATTCCATTGAGCTATCGATAAAAAAAAAAAAACAAAAAGAAAATGAAACGCCTTGTTAAGAAGAAACAACACCGAATTAGGATTGAAGAAGTCCAGGTGTTTGTGAACCGTATAATGGTTTGCTTGAAAAAAAACGTGAAAAAAACGAGAGAATTTATTGTGATCCGGGACCACTTCCCTTAGTGTAAATGGAAGGGTAAAATTGGAAAAGAAGAAAAATAACAGGGGTAAAATGGAAAAGAAAAAATTAATGTTGTGAGAGAAAGTAACAAATCATTAGGTGGTCTTGGAATATATTAAATATTTCCCAAAAAAACGATTCTCTCATGTCCTTTCCGCTATATTTGGACTAAGTAATCTTGTCGTAACAATATCATTTTGATTCAAAATAGGAGGAACTAGGAAGCAACCGCGAAAAACCTTTTCTTCGTTTCATTTCCATCAATATACCACTTACTTCCTCTATGTGCATTTCATGATTGATCTTCTCCTTATCCTATTCAGATTCAGGTAACTTTCCGTAAACATCTTTTTTATGATTTTGTTTTTCTTTTCCATCCTGTTAGGTTCACTTGACGAACTCTCTTGCCACTAGTTTCATTTGTCATGTTGTCATCTTCATGGTGCACTCTCATGGGTTCTGATGCAGCACACTATTAAAAAATGCTATTTTTTCAACGAATTTTTTTTATGAAAAATCATTAAAATTCCTTTGAAAATGAAGTTTTTGAATATCTCTTCGTGGGTAACATTGTCTGCAAAGATTGGTTGCTTAATGCATTTATCTACGAAAATGAAATCGTCGAATATCTCTTCGTTAAAATATCGACGGAAATGAAGTTCTAATATACTAGAAGTTGAATTTGACTTGTTCAGCCTTGCTCTAGCTTCTACCAAATTGGTTGCTTAATGCATTCGTCCACATTGTCTGCAAAGATTCAAAGTTCTTTTTTCTTTTGTTTCCTTAATTTTGTGTTCTAACTCTAACGAAACAAAATAAAAAAGCTTAGTCTTATTCGATGTTATCAAACTCGAGTTTCTACGTAGAAACGGAAAGAGGTGGTAGAAACGTAAAATGTAAAAACGACACGAAACGTAAAGTTTGTACTACTTAAGGTCCAGATACAAAATTATATATATGCATGTAAAAAAAATATTGCATAATGAACATGTGTGTTGAGCCACTTATCTATCTAAAAAGGAAAATTAATTTTGATAACTAAGTATCAAATTTATAAACAGTGATAACTAACACATAATGGATAACTAATATGCTCTAACTGATTCATACAGTCTGCAGATTTTGGATCATCGGTCATTAGGATATAATTCCATTCTTTCAATGTACACAATGATCCAAAAACACAAAACGATTCTTATAGCATAACTTATAATATAATTGCAGGTTTATAAGACATAATTATAAAAGACATATATCCAAACAAAAAGATATCAAGATACTCTATGCATATGATTTGGGGAAAATGAAAATTGGGTTTTTTTTAATTTTCTTTTTTGTAAATCTTTTTTTTTTAATTTTTTTTGTTTTAAGTAAAAACGGTCAAAACAGTAAAAACTCATTTTTACGCTTTTACACGGCGTTTTTATCATTTTTTATCAATGTCCGTTTTTACTTGTGTTTTAACACGCATCACTCTAGTAAAAACGTAAAAACGTAAATTTTTACGTTTTTACACTAGTTTTTGACAACAATGGTCTTATTTACTAAAAAAAAAAAAAAGAGCTTAGTCTCAGATTTTTTATTTTCAGAAATGACATTGGATCTTCCAATTATTTAGCCATTCGGCTTTTATTGCACTTATGTCAAATTATGCTGTGCATAAAATTGCATCCCTTCTATGAAATGTGATTAATAAACGGGTGTTTCACTGGTATAGAGTTTATATTATTAAAAATAACGAAATTGGTATTCGGTGGAACGAAATTACGGTTTGGGGTCTTTTAGTGCCGCCGGGGGTTCCCATCGACTCTAAATGACGTCGCACCCTCCCCGCGGCACGTTTGTATGATGTTATTTTTTTTCCCCTGATGTTGTGCCGCTACCACCCCCATCGGCACTCAATTTATAATATTTTATGAGTGCCACACATCCCCCCAACGGAACTTGTATTATTTTTGTATTTTTATATTTTAAATGCCGCCTAACTCCCCCATCGGAACTGATATATTTTTTTTTATATTTCTATTTTTAGAGTGCTGCTCAACCCCCCTTGTGGAACTCTCACAGCAGGCCAAGTGGCACATCCCCTTCTGTCTGAGCCCCACCTTATCTTATTTCACCTCTTGTCTCGCTTTCATTTAGTAAACATCCATATCTAAACTATCTCTATTTTTTGCCATTTTGTTTATACTAATCACCAGTCTGCACAATTAGTTAGTTGTTGTGACTTAACACAAGTCATAAAATTTAAATCCTCGGTTTCAAGATACCCAACACATAAATTAAACATTGGGTGCAAATACTTGTAGTCATCCATCGTAGAAGGGATTCCATCTGCCAGGAACTGTGGACCATTACTTGTGCCAACTTGAGCGCAAGTTGCAAATACTTGCTAGTAGAAAATCTTGCGCAAAATTAGGCAATCCAATTCCTCAAATATTTTGACCTGTGATACATAATATGAGTGTCAATAGCAAAAATATCAAGGAATAAGAAGAAAAAATTGATAAGGTAGAATAAATATTTGGTTGGGAGAGGGGAAGCATGGTAGGGAAGTTGTTAACAAATCATAGTACCAAACAAACTATAAGTAGTTATCCTAACAAAGTTGAAAAAACAAAACTATCCTTTTCTGCAAATAAATTTTTGGTTACATGAAAGTAACCATACTGCTATTTTCTCAACTTTAAGCATACTATAATTCAGTTCCTGGTTAAGCAGTGTTATTAATAAGATTTCCAACCCCAGTTGCATTTTCTATGCCAAAAAACCACTACATGTTATGCCATATCAGTTCAAAGATCCCATAAATACTAAATAGAATTAACATCAATACAAATCAAACTATTTTATTTGATTATTAGTTAGACCAAAAGGCAATCAAATACCACTACTAATATGTCATCTGCAATCGGTTTTTCATCACTGTGATCATGTGGCCTCTCCAAAATCCTAATCGTATCAAACTCAGAATTGCTATTTCCAAATAAAATATAGGCTAAAATACATAAAACCAAGTTAAAAAAACTACATAAAACCACATTACATTTTAAAGCTTATTGATCATCCTATACTTCATATATACTGCTTTCAGAAGGGAAACTTCAAATAGTTTATTCTATTCTACATAAGTAAATACTCTTACAGTTCTACATACCTACTAATTTATCCAAATTACATATACCACCAGCACACTATGATATCATATATGATTCCGTTCCTGTGAATAAATACATCACTTCCTAACATGATACGATTTTGCAAAGTTATAACCGTCCATGATACTATAGGTTGTGAAAAATAGGTTCAACAGTATTACATAAAATTGTTTACTATAGCCAGCCACAGTGGAGATTACATGAACATCGTATAATGTCAAGTAAGGACATACACCAATCAAGTAAGGACATACAGACAGGTATTGAGTATGGTACCTGTTATTGTGGGCGATAGGCTTGTCAAATAACCCTCAATCATTTACCTGATTAAAGCAAAAACAAGTGTCCAAATCAGTTTTTATTTGAAGACTGAAGTTATAAACTCTGTTACAAGGCATATCAGTTCATCATTGGAAGTACCTTTGATCACAAAGTCTCATCACTGTGATCATGTATAGGGCACGAACCCTGTGATCCGATGTTACAACATGGGAATCGTCGATGTCGCGCACGCCTATCTGGCTGCCTACGTATTATATACTCTTGGTCCATGGGCATGCTGACATTGTCCATAATGTCCATATGCATGGCCCCGTCATCCTGCTCCATAGGCATACTCACAAAACAATTTGTCGATGTCCCTGACTGTAACAGATCAGTGACTGGTGCTGCTGCAGGAGGTGTGACCGACTGACAAAACTCGGTAAATGACGCAAACGGGAAGGTTAATGATGCTTGTTCCACGCTGGGACCACGCCATGGGACCACATGATCACATGATGGAGCATACTCGGACCGATAGTCAACTGTACCAGATAATGATGCTGGTGAATGATGATGTACTGGTGAATAATGCGGGACTGGTGAGTGATGTGGTGCTGAATGATGCTCGACTGGTGACTGATGATAAGAAGGTGATTGATGGTTGGAAGGTGACTCATGATGAGAAGGTGGCTGGTGATCCGATATATATGTATCTTCAGGATAAAAGTAAGACTGTGATGGTCCCGCAGCTTCAGCGTAGAACATACCATGACCCCTAGGAGGAAGATGGGGCAACTCCCATTTAGCATGTTCAATTTGAGGTCTATGAAGTGCTAGCCCCTTCCTTTCCTTCCAACTACGAGGTATCCGATCACCAACCACAATGGGCTGTGATGATAACTGCGTAGGTGCAGATGCTAATTCACCAGGATATGATACCCGATCATACTCTGCTTGCATGTTAAGCATATGCTCAACAACTTTCTGAATTTGATCGTATGGCTTATGTGTCTGACACATGTAGTGAACACGTTGAAGGCGATCTGTCTGCATTTACAGAGGGACAATACGATTTAATGGATGTAATAAATAAGGCAATAATAAATGTAAGAAATAACATTACTCAACTCACCAATAAACCCGAGTGACATGCCTTCCTGGTCATCCATCGTCTAGTGATTCCTCTATACCAAACCATGTACTCTGAGTTAGGACCTAATATGCGGTCCTGTGGATGAGGTGGAGCATTATGAATTGACTCATCTCTCTGAGACCATCGTTGTACAAACTGCTGCAACACCACCAATGCACCAGATATTTCAATCCGATCCGGTGAGGTGGCTATGCACAACTCCCGATAAAGGAAGGCCAACACTGCCGATCCCCAGCTATATCGTCCACATGCCTCCAAGTCTTCCAGAAAAGGTAGATATAGGAGGTGCACCTTACCACCACTGTGATCCGCAAATAAAAAGCCTCCAATAAGGCGTAATATGTATGCTCGTGTGAATCAGAGAAGATTCTCTTCATCCTCCATCCAATCCTCAACATTAGCAAAATTTCTATCCAACCATGACATTTTAAGCGTGCCACCCTTCAAATCAGATGGACTCAGGGTCCTCCCAAGCAGATGTGGTACCAAAGCTATCAACTCTCGTGTTTCAGACATGCCAATAACAGGTTCGCCGTCCGTAGGAAGACCTGTGATCATTGCAACATCCTCGAGTGTTATAGTAACCTCTCCCGTGGGCATATGAAATGTATGGGTCTCCGGTCTCCATCGCTCAACTAGAGTTGTGATTAATGCACTGTCAATCTGCAAACCATAAAATAATAAACAAAAGTATAAAATTATTTTTGTTTGATAATTTCTTGATAATTTAATACATGTAGCATGTAAATACCTCCATACGACCCATCCGAGCAGCGCCAAGAAAGCCAGCACGACATAAATAAGGAACAATGAGCTCTGGAATAACATCCAACCCTGCCAATCGTCCACTTCTGACATTTAGAGATTTATAATCCTCTTCCTCCGTCCAGACAACCTCTGACCGGTGTATAGATTGCATGCATAATACCGAATTGATGCGAGGACCGGGATGAAGATGTCTCTCAGATGAATCATCAAATGCCATCACTGTGGGTGAGGTCTGTTATTTAAAACTGAATGTAAATTGTGAATGTTAAAAGTCTATTATTTAAAACAGAATGCAAATTGGAAATATCTTTGAAGTTAAGTAAAAATACTAATTTACAAAAACACAATGTTGAAGCCTACTTGTTTCTTCCACACCAGATGCTTCAAAATCCATCAAAAAAGGATTCTATTTGTGATATTTTCATCTACTAAATTCATTAAAAGTTTTAGTTTATGAAAACTTCAGTGACCAATCAATTATTTTTGTTATAGATAAATAGCATCAATTTAGCATTTAAATTAGGAAAAGATGAATTAATGTTACAAAAATGTATGGAACTAAGTCAGATGAATCAGTCATGACTCATAGCAAGATGACTTTAATTTATAATAGAAAATGACATTAATTTAGCCACTTGTTCCTATGATTTGAGCACAGAAAAACAACTTTGATGCCACCTTTCATTACTGAGACTAAATTAATGTCACATATCTTTTATGACCAAAATTATGTTGGCTCAATATTAAAAAAACTAAATATAAAAATACTCTAAAATATATTAATCAATATCTGGCTCGAGTTTATATTTAGATTATCAACATGAACAAATAATTAGAATAATAATTAAAAATAAATACCAGTATGTTTGATGGCTAGAATGCTATTCAGAGATTAATCATATGTTTCATTAGATAAAAACAATTACCCCCCACATTAATCCCAGCAAGCTTAATATCCCAACCAACCAAGCTTATTAAATAAAAAATACAGCACATATTAAGAGGAAAATTAGATACAACAAAAAAATATAAACATGTTCCACAATCTTTGCAACTGTCACGGGAAATGGGTTGCTCTCAAACAAACTGAGACCTTTTTATGGTATTCCTCCAGTCCACAGCAATGCAATTGTCCCCATTTTTATACCAATTTTCACATAATCTGCATTTCATTTAAGGAATCATTTCCTTCACTACAGGTGTATTTTTATTTTATTTCCCCCTTTCCAATCAGCATTAATACAGTAGTTACAATCATTTTATTTAAAATCTGCTCTATTACCATACCAGATGCGCTAATTGGGCAAAACAAGCAAGGATTTTTTTTTTTTTTGGAAAATACAATCAACCATTTCAAACGCATAACAGCAGCTAGAAAACGCGTACCTGTGAATCTGTGATAGAGACCACTACTCTGCTTTTGAAGTCAAAAACGCTTTTCTTGTAAACCCAAATCCGAGGTGATAGAGGATCTGGTGGTTGACGGCGAATGTGGCTCCGATGAACAATGGTTCCGACCAACGATGGCGGAGCGGTGGTGGAATGAACGAAGTTGTACAGAGGCACCAACAGATCGGAGGAGAACCTTGTCAATGGTGTCTCTGTGATGATGAAATCAACCTGTAAGTGTTCTTCTTGTTCTACACACAGCTCGCCGACAAGGACAAATTGGGGGACAACGTTCTTCTCGATCTCCTCCTGCTCGCCGACCACAAATTGGGGAAAACGTTCTTCTCGTTCTACAAGTGTTTCATTTATTTCGCAATTGTTCACAGAACGGATACAAATTTTAGGTTTGCAAAAATTAAAATAAGTGCCGTAACGAGGGATGGGCGGCACTTACATAGTAAAAATATAAATATTATATTAGTGCCGTATGGGGGGGTGGGCGGCACTTATTTAATTAAAATAACGTATTTGAGTGCCGTGGGGAGGATGGGCGGCACTGTCTAACGAGAAATAAAAAAAAAAAATTCACATTACTGCCGCGGGGCTCTCTGGGCGTAATTTAGATACGATGGCAGTCCCCCGTGGCATTTACTGACCCCAAAACGTAATTACTCCCACCCACGTACCAATTTCGTACATTTAAATGGGAAGAGTCCCAAACTGGTGAAAGAGCCATTAATAAACAGGTAGCAGTTTCTCGCCAAGACCTCAGCTACATAATTATTAAATTAATTTTCAAGTGGTATTCGGGTTCGCCAATAATGTGCGATTCCCACAGTATTGATGATATTTATTAAGAGTAATGATATTTAGTTATTTACACACATATATAGCCTCACATTCTTCGCATGTCATGATTTGGATACTTTTATCACCCATCGTAATAGCCAGGTTTTTTTAAGATATCAATTTATGTTTGAAATTCTAATGGCCCTGATTAATTTGATTTTGGGTTTGAATTTCTTCACCCTTCTCATAAATTGTGACTCTCCAAATAGCATTTGTACATATGTGAGACAAGAAAAGTGACATCTTAATAAAAAAAAATTTAAATGATAGCACTCTCTCTGTTAGTTGTTATTTTTTATTTAATGTTATTTTTTTTAATTGTAGAGAAGAGTACACTTCTTTTGATTCCTTGTAAACGCATGTTCACACTGACCCACAAGCATGAAGTAAAAGGGTTGTGAGAATTTTTTTCTCTCAGACCCTCCGTTGTACTAGAAAAAGAAATTAATAAAAGGGACCTTGAATATATGAGCAGTCTGTGTTGGTATCCCAAGTAATTGAATTGAATGTCATAAAGCTGTGCAACTCCGGTAGTGTTCCTGAGTTGACTAGCATGCGTAGATACAAAAGGAGGTACCGTACAAGCACTTTCAATTATATGGTTAAAATTCTGATTTTGAATTCGAAGAAAAATCAAAGAAAGGCCTCACGTTCCCTTCAATTCTGACCCAAACCCACCACCTTACTTTCATCTTTGTTTTGCTTCTAGATGCTATTACATAGATGATTTGAAACATATTTTTCCCCTTACCATCATCCTTAATTGCATTATGATTTGCCACTATTATGCCATTATTTTGCATACAATAGAGCAAGGAAACCAAACGATGAGGTTTATTGACCTTTTTTTTTTAATTTCTTTATCAGGTTATCGATCGACTAATCCAATTTAATAGGATAGAACCATAAAAGTGGCAAATCATTTTGCTGTGGGTAAGATTTTGTATCTTGATTTAATGAGTGATAAAATTTAAAAAAAAATTGTTAACTCTATGATTTTTTTTTAATATTTACATTATTCGAACATTTAAATAAAAGTAAATTATTTTTTAATGGATTTGGATGATATTACTTTTGCTCTCTTTAAAAATTTTCTTATAAAATAAATTTATTTTCATTGATATATGCATGGTTAAAAAGAAAAGACCTTTTCATTAGGAGCATCATTGGTGACCTAGCATTCTTACTTCCATAGGCATAACAACTGTTAAAACTATCCTGCCATTACCATATTCAAACTCAGTTAGCAAAGCGATTTAATGCGCAGAGACAAAGCATTGCAACATCATTATATCTTAAGGACTATTCAACCTGAGCGATGACACTCCTTGTTTATTTCATACTCTCCAATAATAGCTAGATTTTTATTACACACTCCAAAGTCATCAACTTCATTTGCACTTTTCCCCTCCCCAACCAAATATTTTTCGCCTCTAGAATTCCACTAACTTAGGAAACAATACTACAAGCGGTAAATACTTGATTTGATTTCAAATCCTCACAACAAGCACCAACTCCATTACATTCAAACGTTGTCTCCACCAACAAAGTCTGACACAGTTGGTAGATAATTGAAAAGATTTGATTTCTAGCCGTATATATAGAAAAAAATTTGTTGAAAGAAGTTGTATCCATAATAGCATGATCTTTCCATCTCAAGGAGATTAGTATTTGACTTTTGGCTGGAAATACCCTTAGAACAATTTCCAAAAAAAAAAAAAAAATGTCGCCTTCGAAGACAAAAATAAACAAAATGACCACAATCGTACAACTTGATTTACCACGCCAATATTGGCATTACCATCATCACCCACTTTCTTTTAATGGTTAAATCACTTTTATTCCGGTATATAAGAATCAAAACGAAAGTGGGGGTGGAGGAAACAAATACAACTGTGTCGGCACAAAAGCTCACGTCGAGAAGAGTTATTGTTTTTTCCCAAAGCAAGAAGGAACTTGATATCCCACATTTTTTATTGTGAGTCTTTATTTTCTCCTTCATATATTTAAGTTTATACATAATTGGGGATAAAAAGAAAATGCCGAAAAAAAAACCAAAAAAAAAAAAAAAAAAAACAGGGCACAATAGTTGTTTTTTATTTTCTAAAAGAGAGGGCACACCACGCGCTTGGTGGGTATGGCAACGAGTCGACTCGCCCTGGGAGCGGTGAGTCCGAACACGTCACCCATGTCCATCTCACTGGGTTTCATCCCATCAGGTAACTCCCACGTGAAGCAGTGAAGTAAGTGAGCCACCGCCAACTCCAGCGCGTAGAGACCCAGCTGCATCCCGGGGCATGACCTACGACCCGACCCGAATGGTATGAACTCGAAGTTGCTCCCTTTGAAGTCTGGCACGCCCGGTTTCAGGAACCGGGAGGGCTTGAAGCTTTCGGGTTCGTCCCAGCAGTTCTTGTCTCTCCCAATGGCCCACGCGTTGATCATCACGCGCGCCTTCTTCGGGACGAAGTAGCCGGCGACCGTCGCCTCCTCCGCCGTCTCGTGGAGGAGTAGGGGGATGGGTGGGTGGAGGCGGAGGGTCTCTTTGAGGGCGCATTTGAGGTAGGTGAGTTTCTCGAAGTCGGGCTCCTCGACCCGACGATCCAGGCCCACGATATCCGCGAGCTCTTGTTGGACCCTCTTCAGATCTTCTGGGCTTCTCATTAGCTCCGCCATGGCCCACTCAATCGCCGATGCCACCGTTTCCGTTCCTCCAAACATGACGTCCTGTTATGATAATGCACACCATCATCACCAATATCAAATTCTTATGTGTCAGAGTCAGACCTCAAGAATCTACTATTAGATTTTGCACTCAAAATCAAAATTTAAAAAAAAAAAAATCAAAAAATAATAATCTAAACATAAGACCCTAAATTGATACCAACTCAACCCCACTGAAAGAACGGATGGTCACTGCATGTTTGGTGGCTACCTTGCTTTATGTGCTTATCTTCAACAAGCCAATAATAACAACAATCATATTTAAATTTCATTTATTTTTGTAATTTCAACAAGTTTTCATAACTCGTTTGAAGACATGTTTTTCTAATAATAATACTCAAATAAATTTTTTGTTTTTAAATGAATTCAATGAGTTTAATAAAGTAAATAATAATAATAATAATAATCACATATAAGTATTTAAAAACAAAATCTAAATTTATAGTGTTACAAGCTTATATCATTATAAAAATTATTGAATAGAGCTTACACAAATAAAATAAAATTATTGAGTAGCATTATAATCAACTTTTGACAACTTAAAATTATGCTAATAAAGATATATGTATTTTTAACATGACTAAGCAACGCGCAAATACTTATATAACTCTTACTAAAAAAGAAGTACTTATATAACTAGCAAGTATCTGATTTATTACACTAATATTTTTAAATTTAGGAAAAGTAAATAAAAAAGTATAAATGTGGATGCATAGTTAGTTTAAAATAAATAAATATAAAATTTTAAGAAATAAAAATTTAAACTAACAATATGTATAATTTTTATAAAAGTATATATTAAAAGATTAAATCATTCATAAAACAATATACTGTTAAGTTAATTCCACAGACAAAATCTTTACAAACTCAACGCAGATCCATTTTTTTAAGCTTGAAAAAGTTTTGATTAATTGTAAATAAAAACTGTTCCAACACTGTAAGACTAACAGTACTGTCAAAAACTATTATTAGTGCTTTGGTGGTTTTTAAGACTAACACTGTTCTAAATTACTGGTGAGTCGTGACCAAGTGAGCAATGAATAAACTTGTCATTGTCCTCAACTAATTTTATGTCAGGAAGTTGATAAGATCATATATTTGAAACTGAACTCATACCATAATGATGGCTTTGATATTATCCTTAGTGAGTTTGATTGAGTTCTGCAGATCATCTGATTCACTATTCACTTTAGCATCATCGCTGTAGAAAGCAAGCAACTCATCCACCATGTCCGTTTCTTCATCATCATCATCACCATCATGATTCCTCTTCTTCTGGACATGTTCATCGATGATCTTGTCTATGAAGCTATCAAGTTCCCCACGAGCCTTAACAAGCCTAGTATTAAGCCCTTGAGGATCAACACCACCCAGGTAGGGTATAAAATCAGCGATGTTGAAAGCTCCAAACAATTTGGAGAACTCTTGCAATATACCAATGAACTCATCTTGACCTTCCTGCGAACTCGAACCAAAAGCCGCACGATATATTATGTTCTTGGTCAGGTTGAACACTAGCTCCCCGATGTTAACGGCTTTTCCGGTGTTGGCCACGACGGAGCGTACGGCGGCGTCCACTTCGTCTCTAACGGATTGCCATGACTCTCCTCGCTTGCGGCTGAAGAGCTTCATGACGCAAAGCTTTCGCATCTGACGCCAGAAGGGACCATAGTGAGCGAAAGCCATGTCTGCACGGTCATAGGTTAAGTAGCTTATGGCTACGGTGGCTGGACGATTGGAGAAGATGTTGTCTTGGACTTGGAGAACTTGACGTGCTGCATCTGGGTCTGAAATAGCCACCATGTGAAGGAACCCCATTCGAAGGTGGAAGATGCCACCGTATTGCTTTGCTAGGTTGGCTAGACCACGGTGTGTTAATTGGTCCATCATCAACATGTTACCTATAATGGGTAACCCTTTTGGCCCTGGTGGATATGGTGGCCTTCCACGATTTCTATACACTATACCCAAAAGCAATATGAGTGGGATAATGAACAAGATAGCCATCTTGAATGGTTCGAGTTCAAGAAGCCAATCCATATATATTTGGTTTTGGTTTCTTTTTTATTAGGGATCGAGGCAATGAATGTGCGTCTATAGTGTGTTTTCCTGGGGCTTGATGAGAATGCAACTCCAAGTGCTGTTGCTGAGTTGAGGGAAATATTAAGGGGCCTTATATACACACTTTTGTTGTAAAACTATTGGAAGATAAATAATTTAAGTGGACGGTCTTTTTATGTGAGTAAAATAATAGTACTATATATTCACACTTATTTGGATGATACTAATTCTCTTCGCAGCGTAAAGCGTGAAAATTTTTACCACTAGTTTCAAGGTACTTTGCCTATGAATCGAATCAGCAACCTTTCAGCCACAATAATTCGCTTCTTGGACACAACCCGTTTACCAATTGTTTCACCCTTTAAGTTAGAGTTTTATTAATCTCATGTTAAAAGAGATAAGTTATCTCATGTCATAGAGATAAATTTATTGACTCCATCACCTAAAAAAAAAAAAAAAAGAAAAGAAAAAGATGACACAATTATCGAATGGCGTGTAGGAAAGAAATTTATCACATGTAACATAAGAGTAGTTTTTTCCTTAAGTTTATAGGGCGTATATTTTATTCTTACGAAAAAATATTTTTTTCAAAATAAAAAAATCTCGAAAGTTCACACAGTAGAATGTTACTTGTAGTTGTTGATAAAGAAAGAAAAGGAAAAGGGAAGAACAAAAGAATGAAATTAATGTTCTCAAAAAAAAAAAAGAATGAAATTAATTTGTAAAATTTATTGACTCGTGTGAGTAACAAAAACTGTGTTATTGTGTTTGAATAGGTTTTTTTTGGTTTAACATGCAAGTAATTGTGTCGGAAGAACTAATCAGAAGTACTGTAGGACCAACCGCCGGAAAGCGATAGGGCTTCTCGTTTTCAACTTAAGAATACAGACTCATTCCACCGGCGTCATACGTAGCCATATACGTGTCTGCTTCTCCTCGTTATCATGACTATATATACGTAATTGTATTAATTAATTTTGCATAATTGGCAGTTGGAACAATCTAGCAAATCCTCTAACGGTTGAAAAACAAGAAATAGAACAACATGAGGAGTTAAGAGTGAACGAAAAGTTTGTTATTGTGAAAGGGGATGACAAGTTCAAAGGTTTATAGTTGATAGTCATAAATGTAGACGACTTTTACGAGTGTAAATGCAAGCAGAGCCGCGATTTTGACAAAAGCATATCTCTTAATTAAATACCTAGAAATTAAGAGAGAAGAAACGTCAGTTGTCCATGATAACGATATCAACGAAGTTTTTTTTTTTAAAAAAAAAAATCTAAAAACGATTAGCAATAATATTTTATAAAGTTGATTTATTTTTTTACAAAAAACTTTTTTTTTCTTAACACACTATTTATTAAATGCATACATTGTAGCTTATGTGTATATATTATTTATTAAATACATCTCTCAGTGGGAATAGAAATAAATTATGTTATCAAATATATTTTTGTAAAAAAACTTTTCCTACGCACATGATTGAATATATATTCGCACTGATTGAATATATATATATATATATATATATATATATATATATATATCGTAATCAAGACAAAAAAAACAAAATGGTTTTCGCCAAAATTTGTTGTTTCTACATTTTTCTCTTGTTGGTCGGGAATCGGGATAAGTACATCCGATTTAAAACTTGTTCAACCAAACTACAAAACGTCAGAAGTTTGTGAATTGAAATTCATAAAGGGATTGTTAAATGTACTTCTAACTTAGGTCCCGTTTAGTTTAAAGAATTGGTATCTGTTTTTATATTTTCTATCAACACTTTAAAAAATGTTATTTTATTTTAAATATTTATGCATTTATTGTTTTCACTATTTTCTGTGAAAATATTTAAAAATAAGAGATAAATTATAAATAATGTGAAACTTTTATAATTATCAATAAAAATAGTGAATTAAAACATAAACTACTTTCTCAAATCAAACAACTACTTCATTTTTCTATTTTCTTTATTACATTTTTCCACAAAATTATATACGAATACACATAAAAATATTTGCATCCAAAAAATTTATATTATTCTTACACTATTTCTTTATTATAATAATAAGAACATAAAGTTAAGTAATAAAGTGAAAAAATTATATTATTCTTACACTATTTCTTAAGTAAAAAATACATGAGTAATGTACTTTTGAGTTTTTTATTTCAGTTTAAAATACATGAGGTAGTAACAAAAAAATAAGTTTGCAAAAAAGAACTAAACTTAATCGGTCAGTCCAAATAATTGAGTAAAATATATTGGTTGAATTAATAAAATTTAACTAGACTTTATGCGAATTTGTTTGCGGTGAGCAAGCCAACTTGATAGATGGATTGAGCTAAATCACACACGGTTGAAGGTTGAAGACTATGGACTGTGAACAGTACTTCGTGAGCTAGTGATGTTCTCTGTGTAGGTGGTGGTTAGTGTATACTTCAGGCGCAATGGAGATGACTGGGAGTACCTGCAAAGGCACTCACAACGCTCAAGTCAGTATCAATGCTAGATTTATGTTATGTTTAATGGGAATCAGATAATCATACCTGAGTTTGTACCCTTCATATTTATAGCAAGCCTTATGTCGCCTTTGATAGGTGGCATGTCTTCTTATTGATTGTTATGGGCTGCAGACTTAATTGTCTCAACTGGCGCCTTGCAGGCTATAAGTCTACATATTTGTCTGTCTTTTTAGAGTGGTGGCAAGCTGGAGCTATCTTTCGTGCGTTGGTCTGTATGCGCGGTGGATCCCAGCATGTTGCTAAATCTTTCCTTAACCTTTAAATTACATAAGGCGGTTTGGCGCAATGCCTGCATTTCGCGTAATGAGGCCATTGCGTCTCTTTGCCCTTCTGCGCAATGCTTGTATCTCGCGTTATGAGGTCTGTGTATTGCTTGGACCCTTTCTGGGCTTTAACCTTGATGGGCCTGTGTAATTATCCAGATCAGATAGCCTTATGTTTAATTATTTTATTGGAATATTATTAAATAATTTATTTGACATATGAATAGTTTTATTTTTTTATTTTTAATGTAAATTGATATTTTTATCACAATTCTCCTTTATTTAATGTTTGTTGAGGTTTAAACTATGAGAAGGGTTATATTGACAAACTTTTTTTTACAAACTTACAAATTATACTATGTCTGATTGGTAAGACTTCACTCAAGAGTGTCTTACCGATAAGACATAGTGTAATTTGTAAGAGTTTGTAAACAAAAAGTTTGTAAATATAACCTTCCTCTTAAACTTATACGCAAAAGAAAAAAAAATGAAATAAATTAAAAATAATTTTTTAAGTATTAAGATTATAAATAAAAAAAATTGCTGGCGACCTAAACTATACGTAAAACTGAGTCATGTCGACAATTTATTAACCCATGAAATTAATTAACCTTTCAGTAAGCTAACCTTAATGCAACAAGCTACACATTCACTATGTTTGGTTGCGTTTTGCCTTTCACGCTACTTGGTGCACGATTTCCAATTTGCAGTTACATCTTAAATACGCCACATGCATCAAATGAAAATAAGGGACCCGTTTCTTATACACTTTTCTATGCCGTAATTAATGTGGCTTGATCATAGCTTGCTGGGTCAAACTTTTGGTGAGGGAATGTGTTTTCATGAAATATTTATTCAAAATACAAACTCTTTGTATAATCATCATCTATTTTTTTCTATTGTTGTTTTTTTTTTTTTTTTTTTTTTTGTAAATAAAGAGGGGCTAAGCCCCAATTGTTGTTGTTGTTTTTATCCCTTCCTTTTCATCACCAACATGACAACTGCAACAGATTCTTTCATGAGAGAGGTTATATATAATAATTTTGTTATGTAAATAAAGAAATGAATACAAAATCTTAAAAAAATGAGGTCCGACCAAAATTTTTCCTATAAGATATATATATATATATATATATTTATCTGTATTTCTCTTTATACGATATTTTCATATAAAAATTTAAGATGAAAACATTCATTTTCATGTTATATAAGCGGTTATAGAAAAAGTTCATTTTTGCCAATTAACAGTAAATTTCTTTCTGTATATGATTATTATATATATAAGGCACATTTATAGCTTAGTGTATATTGTGAATCATCCCATGTCTAATTTTGGTATGAGTATATCATATGATGAATCTCATCATAATTTTAATAACAAAACTCGTAAAACGAAAAAAAAGTTCAAATTAATTAGTTACGGTCACATGACATAACAATGCGAAAAATTGTTACAAAATAGAAGAAGTGAAAAAATTCACTCCCATAAATAGCCTAATTTTCGTTGACATAAACGAAGCGTTAAATTAATGTTCAATAAAGTAAAATTACACGGGGCACCACACTGTAAACAAGCATTAGAAATTGGATCACGGAAAATCATTCAAGTATATTAATTTTCTTAATTATATAGCTTTACGTCAATTAAAGATGACATAATTGTTAATTAGTAAGATATATAAATTAGTTATTAAATCAGTAATACAGTGTATATTGATAAGTTAAGAGTATATTATTACTTTGATAACAAGTTTTTAAGCCCTTTTTTTTGGTATCCAGTTTTTAAGCCTTATTAATTAATAATCAAGCATCATTAATTCATATAAAAAATAATGTGAAAATTTTGTTGTACAAATAAAACTACTAATTGGTTTAGCAAAAAGAAAAGAAAAAAGCTGCTAATTGGTCATTTATCGCAGAAGCACAACTACTAAAAGTCTAAAAGTAACCATGGTTGTCTTAGGTACAAAACAATATATTCATATGAAGAGGGGTTTGGTTTTTTCTATAGTCAATAGATAATTTATTTACAGTGAGTCTAAAACGATGTCATTTTGAGGCAGAAATCAAGATATTATTATAATTATAATTTATTTCAGGATTACAATAGTTTTTTCATTATATTTTTTTAATTTTTCAATCCAAAACAACATCGTTTTGAGAACAAATGTAGATAATTTATCTACATTCACTTTAGAAACATTAAAGCCTTTATCTAAATATATAATGAGTTCGCTTTTTCTGCAGTTATCGCATATAAGTTATCTGCAGTAAGCCCAATACGACGTCATTTTGGAACGAAAGTCACGGTGTTTTTATA